ACGACGCACGCACGCCAGCCACACACACACCATTACCCAAACAGACTACGAGACGGCAGCGATAAACTGGTAAGAGAGCGGACGACTTACGGAGAGGTAACAAGTTTGTATTTACATTAAATCTGATGTATACGTGAACTTGAAAAACGGTCATAATCCAGTTCAGTCTTAATACTAGAGTATGACTTTCAATATCAAAATAGTTAGTGCAACAAGTATTGCAATTTGAAATGACTGAGTTCTCGCTCAAGTTCATTTTGTAACGTCACCAATGTCAGACGTGAAACTACGACATTTGAACGGAAGATAAAACTCAAGTATAATACGTTTACATGCTAAGCACGTGGGTCCTCCCGTTGAGGGGGTGGTGGTGTGGTAAGGATACGTACACATTAGAGAGAGAGGGGGAGGGAGAGGGAGACCTCTCGCAAATTCCGGAGGAGAGACCTAACTCGTCTGTAACTAACAGAAAGACGACCTTGCCAACTCGGACTTAACCGTATCTCTCTTCAAACTCTGTCGTCCTTACTTTCGTCCGCTCTCGTCCCCTCTCCCCTCCTTCCTTCTCTCTCTTCTCTCTCCTACTCCTCTTCTCTCCCTCTACCTCTTCTCGTCACCCCCCTCTCTCTACTCTTGTACTTTCTCTCACTCGGTCTTTACCAACCTCCGATTTTTCATGAAGTTTTGGGTCATTACCTTGCGATAAAGGCTGTCGGCGGTAAAATTTCGGAGATGGGGGGGGGGGTGTGTGCTGTGTGTGTGGTGATGTGTGCTGTGAGTGTGTGTGTGTGTGTGGTGTGTGTGCGATGTGCGCTCGTGTGTAGTTGGTGCTGTGTGTGTGTAGTGTGTGTGTGTTGGGTGTGCTGTGTGTGTGTGAGGTTGTAAGAAGTGTGGTGTGTGTGATAACTTATTGAAACATCCAACACGTTCCTTTTTCTAAAAGACAACGACTCCGTCTTCACCAAACCGTATGTACCTTATTGTTATACGTACAAAAACTAACTTTCCAGTCACAAATTCAGTTCCCCCTAAATAATGGTATTTTATTTGTTATACTCATTATAAGAATTGATATAAATCAGTGGAACTTTGCCACTATAAAAGTAATCTTCCTGGGAAGTACAAGGTGTATCTTCCAAGGCAGAGGTGACTATTGTGTGTCTCTGTGGAGATTACAAGTGACCCTTCTGGGAGAAGAGCGATAAAACCGTTTGGTCGGTGTTAGTAGTAGGGTCTCACAATGTAATAATACAACAATTATATCCAACACAAAGCCGTAGGGACACCCCTCCGACCCCCTGTAACTTGGTCTGCCACCGCCCACAAAGTTTCGGAGATAGCGGCTTGCGCCGCCCCCTCGTCACTGAGTTCCAAGGACCACGGAGTGTCCCCCGCCATTGGGAACTTGGACGGACGCACCTGTGGCCACCAGTCGCCGTCGACAGGCTGACTTCTTTCCTCCGAAGTCCCTAAAACACCATGCATAGGGCCCCTCAGGGCCCCGTCAACGTTCCCCATGGCTTGTCCGGGCTTCCCGTCTTCGGAGTCGGCACCAGCTCCGTTCGGTCGCCCAACACCCTCTTCAACCTCTATGTACCTTTTTCTGAACAGCCCCGGTGGTTCAACAAGACCTTTTGACCAGGCTGGGAGTCCATCCCTTATTCGTCCCTGGTAAGGTTTCGACCATCTCATTTCCCTACACTCAACTGGAGTTGACTACCATCACAATCCCCAACCTTCCCTCGTGAACTCCTTGAGGACTTGGGCTGTTGAAGCGCGGAGATAGCCAATCTCGTCTCGACCTCGACTACTGCCCCCTAGCTGTGGTTGAGAGGGCCCCCCCTCCGGAACGCCAGCTAGTTTGTTGAAGTGTCACCCGTTTCGGGGCCCCCACCTACTCTAGGCTGGTCCCTTAACTGACTTCCAGCACCTACAACTTCCTTACAGCTACCAATGGTGCAGAGGAGTTGCAACGAAGCCTTCACCTTTGCATGGCTTCTCACCGTTCTGGGCCCCACCACCAAGGGGAAAAGTTTTCCTTCCTAAAAAAAAAGTCTCCCACACACGGGTTATGACTCCGTACGTGTAATGAGTTCCGGAGGGCCCTCGCCATCAGCACCCCCCCCCAGACGTCAAGCAACCCGATTCTACCCTACATGCGTCGACGTAAAATACGTCTACTACGCCCAATATCTACCGGAAGTAGCCAGACGTGAAGTCGGAGGAGGAAGGTACCCGGCCTCCTTGCCCCTCGTCCGCTCCTCGCCATGACGTCAGTAAATGGGCGTTGGGACAACACTACTTTTCTCTCGACTCGGTCTCTGTTCGAGAGACAGAAGTGGCCCGCGTTAAGGAAGGATGGGAGTGGATACCAGTACTTCCTACCAGTACTGGTTTTCTTATTCAACGCCGTCCGGCTCTACCCAAAGAGGCGTCCCACCGAACTGCGGAGGGAATCCCATTCCCTCTTCAAGTTCAGTAGGCCTCCCTGACCTCAACTTGAGAGGAGGAAGTGCAGATTTTCCCTGGGTCAACTCCCCAAGCCACCATGGATCATTCCCTACGGTGGAACCCGCGGAGGATCCTCACAAGGTCCGTGCAGGTCGACCCTTCTCTGGTTCCCATCTGGATCTTGGTGTGCCACCTCCTCTATTATAGAGAACCGACCAGGACCCTCGCGGAACCCTAGGGGTCAGTCTCGACCAACTACACCGGTCCCTTTCCTTTCAAACCCCGAAGACGACACCTTGACGATGGAGGTGCTGGGCTGGTGACTATTCGCCAAACCCCTTCTACAGTTACCTTACGTATACCTATAACTATCTAAGACAAATGTAAAGTCAAGTAAAAATCTGTATCGTATGTAACAAGAAACAATTCCAATATACAACAAGTCGAGAAATCTAACAAAGTCTAACCAAAAATGTGATAATAGTTAAACGATAAACTCAATGTAGGTTTTATTGCCTCGTCGAGTCAATCGGTGCCAGAATTTCCTAGGCGAGCTTAGGTGTTACATAATACGTCGAAGCATCTTACACTCGCGGCCTAGTGAGTGGTCGTCCGTTTCGACTCTTACCCTCTTCAAGCCGCTAACCTTCCTCAGATAATCCTATTACAACGTAAGCGTAGAAGCGACGTTCCCGGATAACTAGCAGAGACATGCTTTCGCCAGGAGACTAGGTGGGACTCGCGGTACGGAGTCTCGCTGAGAGCATAAGGTTAGTCGAAGCGGAGCTGAGAAGGAAACCGTGACTCTACGTGACAACATGTACACAGAGCGAGGCGCGATCCAGACGAAGTATACCTCACTGATCTGATACTAACGGATACAACCCAATGAACAACAACCCTAGGAGAGTAGTAATCTTTCTTAGCCATTGATACTCCACCTTCTCTCCCCCTCGCGCCGCCAAAAGGTGTAACACTAGTTGGTCAACTTTCTCGAAAGTACCTTGGGAACAATAAGATACTAATGAAAGCGACATCTTGATTTTTACCAGTCAGGAATTATTTGAATTTGCCTTCCGAAGGGAATTGGAAATTCGGGACTCCGGACAAAGGGCCAGAGTGCGAGTTTTACTAAGGGTCTTCGTTTACTGATATAGAAGTGAAGAATTTTCCCTAATTACTAGAACAACTACTATCGTTACTATTTTGGACACTCAACCTACCATCTTATTCCCAGTCTTCGCTTAATCTAACAAAATAACCACTCTTGTCAGGGTACGTCTAACTTGTATCATTGGTTCTTCACATTCTTTCTACTAACACACAAGAGCGGTTCAGACTCATATGCCTAAAGGGGATTAGTTTCGAAGGCCTATCCTTTGGGGAGGCAACTATTGAGGGTACTATGCTCGGCGAGTATGTCTATCGAGTTCTTGAAACCTCGCCCTCTCTCTCTCTCTCCCTCGCACGCACGCACGCACGCACACACACACACACACACACACACACACACACACACACACACACACACACACACACACACACACACACACACACACACACACACAGGTTATAGATGATACAGTGAAA